TCAAAAACACGGAAATACAAATGTCAGACCACAACATCTGTTCTAAGGAGGCCAAGTCAGTTAGAGATCTCGCCTACGAGTCAGGCATATACGTAGCTTAACCACATATGTCAGAATGAAACTAGTGTTTCCTGTATGCTTTTCTGCTTAGAATTAAGGAATTTAGCCAATAAGAATGCTTTAAAATATTTCCGTGTTTTTGATGCTTTGAATACAATATAAAAATGTGTGTTTGGATTAGAACGCTGTCCAGATGTTAGAAATTGTTATCTCTGTCTGGACCTTTTGGCCAAAATAAAGCTTATCTTGACCTCACAGTCCAAATCTCCTGATTTTCTGCAACAAAACGATAACCTCGGGCTGTGAACGCACCTGGATGTATGTTGTGTTGGCATGACAACATGTTTGCATTCCTGAGTTTTCTGTTGGAAGGCATGCTTAATTTAAGAAGTGTCTGTGTCATCAGGGTTTTTTTTTCTTTCCAGGAAATAAATGTTGGTGGTAATGGAGGAGTACGTTTTGCCTTGTAAATAAAGGTAGATGGTCGGAGGATCAAGTTTTTAAAGATCTTTCCCTCTTTATTGCAAAATATGTTTTAAAACAAAACAACTCATGAGAAGTGCAGTTCCAAGCAAAAAAAAATCCTGCAGAATTCTGTTTTGCAAAACAATACCTATTCTCCAAGCACTTGCATTAATTGATGAGTTAGATGCTGTTAGTTTATTTACCAGACACCTTTAGTCACCAGATTTTGAGTGGCATACAACTCCCTAACTATATAAACCTTTAATTCAAATTATATATATAACATAGCTCCCATAAAGTTTTTCCAATTTTGGTCATTTCCAGATGCAGGGACTTCATCTCTCTGGTACTGGTGAACTCTGGGAATTGAAGTCCACTCATTTGGAAGCTGTCAAGGCTGGGAATTAATAGTTTAATAATTAATAGTTAAGTGCTCTGAATTTCCAATATAGTATATGATCGTTCAAGTTTGTGACCATTCCAGAAAAAAAAAGCCAGAAATGTTTCCTTTGTTTTTTTTTAGCCATCTTATGAAGTTGAAAAATTGTACACTATGAAAATCCTAAATTGGTTTAATACAAATACTGTGATAGTTGGAAAGCATACTTGCATATTTATTGGTGAACTGTCATTTCAGTTCTCTAGCAACTCCATTTGCTTCCAATCTCATTGAATTCTGTGTCCAAAGGATTAAAACAGCATGTCATCTGATTTATGCAATGGGAAAGAGACGCTTTGTCTGATTACTTTAGCTACTACAAAACATTTTGAAATAGCATTCCCTTCCTTCTGGTAGCATTATCCAAATTTCTTTTCAGCATGCAATTCTGAGAACCAGAACTAGCACCTCTAAAAGATAGTTCAGAAATAATTCTTGCTGAAGCATGCAAAAACTCCACTTAGTCATTAAACTCATTTAAAAAGACCATTTATTTTCTTCTTGCCCACTAGGGCTACCACATTTGGAATGCAGAAATCCATATGAGCTCCAGGTGTCAATTTTTCGTATTTCTTTATTGCTAACAAATGGCCAATAGTAACTTTGCAAGCCTACATTGTGGAGCCTTACTTAAATTCACAAGGTGGCACCTTGTGTTTAAAGGTACTGAACAGCAATAATGTAAGTTATGTTGCTATTGCAGTGCAGAATAGAATAGCCCATTAAACGAGATAGCCTATAAATACTCAGTGGAACAATCAGCTGAAGAGCAGTTTACAACACAATCATATAAATATCTTCTGAGAAATATGCCCCATTTAGATCAGTTATAAGTGAATATTAGATTTCAGCCTTAGTGTGTTAAAAATGCTTTACATTCACAGCCTGGGATTATCCATTTATACCAAGTCATGATTTCTTTAATTGTGATCTAAATAAACTGCCAGAGTTCACTAAGCAAGGCAAGTCTGGACCCAAATTTTACCAGTGTCTGCATACACATAATAAAAACCATCTAATTAATATTAAAACTTAGTGCAATAGATATACTCATTGATAACCTTTTTAAAATAAAGTCTTTTATTTAGCCCCTCTCCTGGTGGTGGCTGCATCTTCTTCTCCTCTTCCTCCTCTTGCTTCTGCTTCTCCTCCTCCTTCCAATATAAAACTGGCTTGCTGTTGCTACTTTTATGGATGTTTTCTCAGCTTCTCAGACTAAAACCAAGGATTCCCTTGAATGGAAATTCACCAAGTATTAGTGCTTTCTGTCCCCCCCCCCCCTTTTCAATATAGAGTCTGGTAGCTCCTTTACTAGGCAGGCCTAGGCTGTAAAGCTAGAAACCATATTTGTACTGAGAAATGAACTAAATAACAAATCATTTAAGAGTTTCTGGTACTTCCTCTCACATTATGCAGCTGATGCTTATCTGTACACATCTCTACAGCTAATCTATACAGATTATGAGTTGAGGGAGCTGGGAGGAACAAATATAACACAAAAGATCTCTTGAAAAGAATTCTGCTTTATGAATAAAATATACTTCTACACAGTGGTGGGCTGCAATTTTTTTAACAACCAGTTCTCTGCCCTAATGACAGGCTGGGTGGGCATGGCTGGGTGGGCATGGCCAGGGGGATTGACAGCGCTCAGCCTCCTGTAGCACTCTGCCAGCCAAAATGGGCTGTGGGGGTTAATTACAAAATGTGGACTTTGCTTTGCGATAGATCCAGCGAGCAAGGGGTGTGAATTGCACAGAAAATGCACTTTTGTTTGGTTATGAAGAAATATCCCCAAAGTCAGATGTACACTAAATGTAGACTAACTTTTAGCTACACATCTTCATAGCAAACAGCAAATTTTGAAGCTCCAGGAAAAGAGGATTCATTTTAGGATGAGTAACCACAGTTTGCATGTTGGAGATTCCTAAAGGAATGCTGGGAAACTGTATTTTAAAGAACATTTGAGGGAGGAGTGCGGAATAGCCCTTCTCTGAGGCTGTAGAGACTTGGCACCAATTGATTTACTTTTGGATGCTATTTGGAACTCTGACACACTGTTTGTGAAGCAACTGATCAACACTGACAGGTAAGCCACTAGTATATGAAAATAAGAGCAAACTTTAGTACTGATGATGTTACCTAGTTTGGTAATGAAACATCTACAAGAAAAGCATTAAGTTCAGAGGGTACTAAGGACCCCACAGTTCAACCCTCAGCTACAAATATTATCTTCTATCACTAAACACTTTTGTTAGAGATACTCAGAGCCTCCCTTTTATGAGATGGCTCTCAGTGGATTTCATTCTAAATCTTGATATGATTTCTATAAATAAGGAATGTAGAATGATAATTGCTGAGTATTTGATCCTTCATACATCAAAAAAATACAAAGCTAAAGGAGAAACATAAAAAAGAATTTGAAAAAAGAAAAGGCTCAGGAAAGAAAAAGAGTGAAAGTTTAAGAAAAAGGAATAGAATGAAAACCAAAAAAGAATGACTTCCAACTTTCTCTGGTACAGATATAAGTAAAAATATATCAAACTCTTACTCTACATTTGTCTACATGATTTCCATAATCCCATAGCTAATCATCAAAGTCCAGATCAACTTTTAATTTCAGTTTATATTGCTTTAATCCCTATTTGTTAGGGAAACCACAATTGATTTATTTAATTTCACCAAACTATAAATAAAACCGGAATAGAA